AGCAATTAGTCAACAAAGTCTGTAGTACACTCGCAATAAGGGAGCAGGCCTGGCGCACTGTTATAGGCCGCCTTGTGCATACGCCCTACACGTACGTTTCAGTAATATATAGTATATATATAGTAGTATAGTATATGTGCCCATGCAGGGTATTATCGTACTCTGCGAGTAGTAGCCGTCTCTAAGTGTGCCGACTCACGTCGCTGCAGGTTACATTACCGTGTTTATACTTGTGTTTTTTTGACTTGGTACATCTATCTACTTTGTTGACGATGTCGTCGTGCTAGGTTGAGAGGCTACTGCAAGCGGCGTACTCCAAGACGGACGCGACCTTACTCGGCATCGAAGACTGGCCGCGCGCACACGATGAGGACGAAAATTTTCGCAGCCAGGCGGCGCTGCAGTCGCACATCACGCGCCACCGCACTCGTCTGCTTCTGGCGTCGCAGGAAGCCGGATTCTGCGCGGACGTGCAGACGAAGCTGCTCGGCTACGTCGAAGACATGGCGCACGATCCTCCGGGCGAGACGCGGTGGGCGTGGAAGGAGATGCTCGCCTTCTATCTGCTGATGAACAGCAAGGAGCACACGAGCGGCGAGCGAGCCGTCGGATCGCAGTTCTTCGCGAGCGGTAACGAACGTCGTTCCCTGCGTTGGTAGTTCTTCGCGAGCGGTAACGAACGTTGTTCTACGCATTGGTAGTTCTTCGCGAGTGGTAACGAACGTTGTTCTACGCGTTGGTAGTTCTTCGCGAGTGGTAACGAACGTCGTTCCCCTCGTTGGTAGTTCTTTGCGAGCGGTAACGAACGTCGTTCCCCGCAATGGTAGTTCTTCGCGAGCGGTAACGAACGTTGTTCACCGCGTTGGTAGTTCTTCCCAAGCGGTAACGGACGTTGTTCTCCGCGTTGGTAGTTTTTCGCGAGCGGTAACGAACGTCGTTCTACGCGTTGGTAGTTCTTCACGAGTGGTAACAAACGTTGTTCCCCGCACTGGTAGTTCTTTGCGAGCGGTAACGAACGTTGTTCCCCGCGTTGGTAGTTCTTCCCGAGCGGTAACGAACGTCGTTCCCCGCATTGGTAGTTCTTCGCGAGCGGTAACGAACGTTGTTCCCCTCGTTGGTAGTTCTTCACGAGCGGTAACGAACGTTGTTCCACGCGTTGGTAGTTCTTCGCGAGCGGTAACGAACGTCGTTCTACACGTTGGTAGTTCTTCGCGAGTGGTAACGAACGTTGTTCTACGCGTTGGTAGTTCTTCGCGAGTGGTAACGAACGTCGTTCTACGCGTTGGTAGTTCTTCGCGAGCGGTAACGAACGTCGTTCCCCGCGTTGGTAGTTCTTCACGAACGGTAACGAACGTCGCTCCACGTGTTGGTAGTTAGGTTGCAAACTCGAGAGTTTTCTACCGCGTGGTGATCAGTCTATTTGATCAACTTCGTCTCTTTCCATTTTCGATATAGTCCCTTGGACTCTGAAGACTAATATTTACGAGGTTACGAGGTAGTTCTACACGCGACGCTTCGTGACGTCACTCTAGTCACGCCGCGTCGGTGACGTCGTTCGTTGGTGCTGAATAGCATTTTTTGTCGACAGCATCTCCAATAATAATTAATATCTCGACTCGGTAGACGATGTGAGGTTCAGGGAACGTACTACGATCTTTTTACTGCAGTGTGTACTGCGCGATTGATACTGTTAATCTCCGGTTGAACTATGCCGTTTTTGTACAAAACCATAGCTGTACAACGCCATGTAATTCATGTCAATTCGATGTAATACATAAATGTTGTATGCAATAGAAAGATGTTGCATGCTCTTGAAGGATGCAACTTGCTATACAAGGATGTTATATGCTGCAAGTATGATGCTGCATGTCCAACGTTGCTGTTGAAAAGTTACAGAAGCTATGTTATACACGTAAGAGTCATACATTGACATTAGCATAACACGTATCATCATCATATTTATCTTTCTTTTAGGAAATCTAACACAGTCCGGGTTGACGACCTACCATAGAGAAGAAACACTTGGCAAGTTCTACCTTTCTATGGCTGCAGACTACCACAGTGAATTCGAGAAAGCAGAGTATCACATGTTGACAGAATCTACGCTTCAGAAAACCATAATCAAGTACGCATTACAGTCTCACTGCGTCTTATATACATGCAGACGTTGACGTAGACCTACCTTTGAATTACTACCAAGCATGATATTTCTCACAATATCACAATATAATGAGGCCAAGCTCTGAAGGGCATGAAAGAAGACCATTTAAGGATGCTGAAGAAAGGAAACACCACGCACGCACTCACGCACGCGCACTCGCACACGCACGCATGCACACACATCAAAAGGACAGGTCTTAATAATGAATACTTCATAATTACATTTCAGTATGCACAAAAACATCTTAGAGAACAAGTGGCGGCAGCCAAGTACGGAACGAGCCCTCTGGTGGTTTGGCAACATGACAGAGTACATTGAAATTCTGAGCGAAGCCGCAGTACGCCTCGGTGAGCACACTCTACTGGAGATGACAGAAGGCTCTCACAGAAAACAATTGCACAGGGCTGTTGTAGCCGGCGCAATTCTGATAGTGTTCGCCCTACTTCTCTGGCCGATACTGCTCACTCTTCTGATATTGATTGTGCATAGAATACAGATGTTCTATAACTACCTAAAAGCTGAGGGCAAAAAGCGAGGCACTCAATTTGACGCTTCCACTTCCAAGTCTTGAGCATTGGCTAAAGAGTTTTCCGTTAAAAAGACATTTCATTGGGTAACATTTTAACTAACCAATTTACGAGCATCTGAGATTTGTTGGATTTCAGTTTCAAGTCATAGCTAATACTGTCACAGATATTACAATTATTAGTAATTAATATCATTCCTTCTATTAAAATTTATTCTCAATAAAATTATACCATTAATGGTACAATAGTTCAGTTTCAGTACAATAATGAACTGTCATGTTGTTTCTGTAAGTCCTGGAAAAGTGAAATAGTTTGCGACATATCATAACATTATACATTTTATTAAAAAAGACCATTTTATTGATGAATTGAGTGAATTATTTGATATGAGTGTCGGAATGGGTATCTACTTTGAACTAGCTAAAAATCAAACGCCTAATTCTTGTACAAAAAGGAAATTTTTACACGCATCCAAGACGACCACTGGGCCACTAGTGCCATCTAGATGTGAATACAGTCATGAAATGGTGCTAAAGCTGCTTTGCGATCACGTTTTATAAATTATGCATACCAATACAATTTAAGATAGCAAAAGTAGAACTTTTCTTTTAGTATTCCCTTATTCACCATTAATCCATACCACCAAACAAAACATGAACCAATCCTATCCAGATCTTTAACAGATGCCATTGTTTCCTTCACAAGATTTTGCTTAGACACAACTCAAAGATTTCCCTGGATCGCTCCGACTCTGCTGTGAGCTTTATAGAATACCTGCAACACTGCTGAATTCTTTAGTCAGCTGTGCAAATTTCTCGCACAAACTTTTTGATATCATCAACAGAACCAGTTTTTCAGAAATGTAGTTATTCAGAATATCATCAACATTTATGGTAGCCTGAAACACAGCAGCTGTCAACAATTTCACCATCATCATTGCCCATCTTCTAAATAGAAAAAGAAACAATAGGAAATACTTCACGCATTACCATTACGGTACCTAATAGGAACATTAAAAATTCACCTTCGCTAACATGAATAAATATCCACTCCAACCCGAATATCCCTATGTGCGACCATTCTCAATTATGATGTCAATTGAGAGATGGTTTAAATGCCAGACCCATACATGTACCAGCTTTCTGATGAACACTTCTGAACACTTCTAATCAAACAGCAATGAAGACAAAACGACACTGAGCAGTAATCCCTAACGTCTAATGTTTTGTCTGTGTTCTCCACACAATATGAACACTTACCCCCCCTGATGGCCACGCATTGTTAACCGTAGGTCACACTAGAGTCAAGACGTGAACAGCGAAAAAAGGAATTCATTTTTTTACCTCCAGGAGTAAGCTAATTACAGTGTAATTGATATTAAATAATCTGTCATTATCTTACTCCTGTTTACATCAAGCGACAACAGTTGGCTGCATTTCAAGTGACAAAGATACGATATCCTAGGAAATCGACCAACACCCTAATGGCACTAATATTGTACAAAAAGATCTAGGGATGAACAGGAATATGAGAGCAAGCAGGAAACAATCCCCCCTCCCCCCCACACACAAAGCTACCAGATGGCAAGTTGTTGCTTAAACCTTTGGCCTTGACCTTTAAACCCTAAGATTGCAGCTATGAAACCTCGTCGCACTCCGAGGGCCTACCAACGTGGGTTTCCGCGACGACGACAAACGATGACGTAGGGGGCGCTACACAAGCTTCTTTGCCTCGAAGAAGCTCTTGAGGTGTCTCATCTGCCAGAATCCAGTGAGCAGGAGAATGCACGTCTGCACGACAGACCACCACAGCACTCGCTGGTTCGTGCTCTCACTCGTCTGCCGGAAACGCTCCTCGCGATACTGAAACAAAATGAGGGGACATCAGAAAGGCTCACCGTTATGCTACTTTGTACAAGTTAGTGTCAGAATCAATCGTCTTTACATCACACTGAGGAAAATTATTGTAAACAACGCTCGTCGCAATACTGCAATCAACAAGCGATCATCAGAAACTTGAGAATAAGAATGATCACTGCGAGCGGTCGATGTAAATGGCACTGACGAAGAACCAGCACTGCAATGAATCGTTATCAGAACACAGATTCAGCCCATTTAATTTTTCTCTACGTTAGCCTGCACATCAAACCTTACATATAATATATATACATATACCCATACATGTAACTGCGATTAAAATAAAAGATTCATAATGCAGGGAGCGTGTAACGCGTAAGTGGCGGCTTACTCGCTGGTAGTTCTGTTCTTTCGTGATCTGTTCGACTTGCTCCAGCAGCTGCCGGATACGCAGCTCCAGTTCGGACATCTTCTCCTTCTCTGCCACCTGGCCATAGTCCACAGCATGCTCCCCAACCTGAATGTCCAGATGTACTCGCTGCAAGATGCAAAAGTGCAAACATTAACACGTTTTCCTGCTTATAGCACACTGCAAGATGCAAAAATGCAAACATGTTTACCTGCTTATAATGTGCTACAAGATGCTAAAACCTGAACATAAACAGGTTCCCCTGCTTATAACATGAGGCAAGACACAAAAATGCAAACACTACCATGTTTATCTGCTTATAGCACACTGAAAGAACCTAAAACATTAACATAAACACGTGATAAAACCCGAATATGGAGTATATATAGTATTTACACTCTATTACTATTAGTGAGTACAATACACGAAGACTACATATGAAATACATCACGTAACACTTTACACCCTTTCTTATTCCGACAGCATACAGGGTTAATCAGGACCACATCCATATAACGACAAAGCGGGCGCAGAAACAATTCCACGCGCGTCATTTCTCGACAAACAACGACGCGATCTTGGCGCGCGCAGGCGATCGCCTACTCAGATTGTTACTAAGCGCCGTACGTACCAGCTGGCCGCCGCCGAACCACTGCGAGGAGTTTGACATGAGACAGATGACGTGCTCGCCCGGCGTGTGCGACTGGAAGGTGACGCGACCCTCCGAGCTGTACACCTTCGAGAGGACGATCTTGTCGTCGGGGTCGCGCACTTCGACGTGCATGCCGATGCCGGGGCTCGACGGCAGGTAGTCATTAACGTTCCTGTCGTACACCTGCACCTTGTAGTTACCTGCAGGCCAACGCGTAGATGGATGTTAATAAATAGATAGATAGGTCGATAGATAGGTAGGGAGGAAGTAGGTAGGTACTAGGTAGGTAGGCAGGTAGGCAGGTAGTCGTTAACATTCCTGTCGTACACCTGCACCTTGCAGTTACCTGCAGGACAACGCGTAGATAGATAGGTCGATAGATAGGTAGGGAGGCAAGTAGGTAGGTAGGTAGTTAAGTAGACAGGCAGGCAGGCAGACAGATAGGTAGACAGGCAAGCGTGCATGTATGTAGGAAAGCAGATAGGTCGGTAGATCGGTAGGTACTATGCAGATAGATAGATAGCCATAGCTATGTTTATTCAGCACCATCTAACAGAATAATTACATCCATGAACAAAAACAAAAGGGATGAGGTCGCTTCGCAGCTGACAGAAAAGTTTAAAAAAAGCTGGAAATTAAGACCTGCTTGTTAGGCAATTAACTATTAAGGAATGACAGAGAATTTATACGATATTGCAAATAATAATTGAAGGCATGTTTGATCCAGTCATCATCCAGCATAATACAACAAATAATGTAACAATACTAACAATGATTGGATCAAGGATAGTTTGGCACCCCAACAATACGTTTTCGCATATTATGTAGGCATACTAAACTATTAAATCTGGGGTGCTAAACTAGGCTTGGGTTCGGTTACAGTGCCAGACTGGTGCAGACGACACGTGCTAAACCCACACATACGAGTATTACGACGCATGATTGGCTGATGTGTCCTCCAGACTGCCATATCCGTATCACTCCGTGATACATGTAAATGTATAGATGATATTTAAATGTTTTAAAAGTGACACGATGAATTAATTTTGTTTCTTCACGAACCTGTGATGACAGTTTCCTCGGGTATCTCTTCGATGAAACACTTCCGTTCGGTCTCACCAATGTGGAAGTATAAACCAGATCCTAAGCTTATAGTCATACTAAAAAACACTAAACACAAGACTCTATTTGTGGCTGTATTCATATTGTATAGCATTTTGATTTATATGGTAAAAACAAATTAAACTTAACAAACTACTTTACGTAAAGCCACGTCAACAACACTGCTTTCCTCTGCCTAGACACGAGACAAGGGAACAGCTGTGCCACTAAAACCGACCGCCGACCAATAACCAAATAAAAACTGAATAAACCAGTAACTGAATAAAAAGCGAGAAAGCCATGGCTACGGGTATTACTATTCGTACATAATTGGGTCGAACCTACTTTACTTGGGGAATTTTGCATGTCACATATTTACATTTCTATTCTTGCATAACTAAACTCAATGTAATTATATATAGGCATTTTCTCGTCTTCATTCATAATGACAGACATCCCTTACGAGTAACCTACGTGGGCGGCTGGATTTGCAGCTATTGCAGTCGATGTTAGCTGATGTCACAGTGGCTGATGTTAGTGCATGTGGGTCTGTTTACGAGTGCGAAAGGCGAAGCCATTGAGAAATTGCACGTGGTTCGTGCTCCATATTAAGCCCATTTTTTACCAACTTTAAGGAGATGTCAGGTCAACACAGTTCATATAACAGTAAGTTCAAGAGGTCACTTGGCGAGGTAAGTCATTCCGAAGTAATGATTAACTGAGAACATGTGTAACACTAAAGTAAAATATGAACCAAGTAGGGGCCTACCGTTGAAAAAAATAACTTTTTTTTAAAACTGGAAACATCTCACAGTCACATAACTTAAAGGGATCGTTTACTCTAGGTTCTAGTGTTATTTTCAGTTAATTTAGGTTAAAATTACGCTACATAAAAAGTTTCATGGTTCAATCACCATTAGAAATATTATTAAAAAATGTTTTAAAACTAACGACAAAAGTTTGATTAACTCGCAGCTATGCCTATAGTGCCTGCATACCTCCCAAATCCCATTGGTTGATACAAAGCACGTGCTTGAAACTCCTGTTTTATGGTGCATTGTGACCCTAACCCTAACCCTAACCCCTAACCCTAATTAAAATTTAATAAAAAAAATTAAAAAAAAATTAATTGTCAAAATTATTTGTTGTTATTAAATTGTTGTAAATAAATCATGTAAATATTTGCGTTAATTGAGAAAAAATAGTTAAATGGATAAAGATAGAAAAATACAGAAAAGAGGAAAATAATTAAAAAACTGATGGGATTCGATCCAAAGACCTTTCAGCCGTGATGGCGTGCCGCAACCGTTCGTCTATTGAGGCTTATTGTGTTTATAGATTATGGATGTGCCATGAATATGACAACACTGTGACGTCATTGAGGCAGTTGAGGCACGTGATTTGTATCAACCAATGGGATTTAGGAGGTATGCAGGCCCTATAGCTGCGAGTGTTTGATTACAACGACGGTGGCGCCACTTAAAGCGCACGATCTGATAAGTTGCGCAAAACGACTTTTCAGCCAAGGGGTACAGACCGAGGGTGTTTCTTATTTATTAATTCAAAAGCAAAAGGATTGTAATATATCTTATAAACGACATATAGTTTCAGTTATATTATGGATAAATTTGTACTAAAATGAACATTGTTCGGTTAAATAGCATTTGGGTATGAATATAATTGCACCTTTGTGATTAGCCCTTGGTCTGTAACGTGCAAAATAAATTGGGAAATGCGCAACTTTTTCAGGGTGGCAGCACGGTCGCGGGTGTCATGGCGCCGTTCAAATTTCGTGGCGTTGATGTGTAATTAATTATAACAATTAAATTAGGTATCTGGTAACAAATACGTGTGCGTATACATAGACGATATGTTATACAGTAAGTTACAGTTGTATGCAGTAAAATCCGAGAGTATACTATCCCTTTAAATAGCATTTAGGTATAAATATAATTGCACCTTTGTGATTAGCCCGAGCGGTCTGTAACGTGCAAAATAAATTGGCAAATGCGCAACTTTTTCAGGGTGGCAGCACGGTCGCGGGTGTCAATGTGTATAATTAATTATAACAATTAAATTAGGTATCTGGTAACAAGCTATATAGTACGTGTGGTATAGACGATTTGTTATACAGTAAGTACAGTTGTATGCAGTAAAATCCTATAGTCTACTATCTCTTTAATATACCCGTAATCATAACCTAATTAAGTCTAACAATTGTTCAGTGTAGCGGGTGTCAGGACTGACAAGAGTTCACTGTTGTACGGCATAGAATATCATACTATTAGTATATTACTATTGGCATTTGTACTATTAGTATTGCTCATAGGGTCTATGTCCCCCAGGGTACTGCCAGAACGTACCCTGGGTACGGTCCGGTATACCGTAACGTACCCTGGTAACTATCTGATATGGTTAGGGTTAGGGAGTAGGCGTAGGCGACTCCCTAGACTCGTTAGTGGAGTAGGCGAGGTACGGCCCGGCATATTAGATACTGATAGTACCAGGGTACGTTCCGGCAGTACCCTGGGGGACATCTAGACCCTCTCAGCATTAGTATTAATTATTATTAATTACTATAGTCTGGCCTATAGCCACAACTGGCACAAGTTATGTTAATTCTCGCTTCTGACTACGTTGCCTACCTTCCTACAAGTACAACGTGAAACAGTCATATTTTTTCATTTTTTTATTTATATTTATTTATTTAGGCATTTATCCATCATATATACAATACATAGCATACTTTTACAATAAAATTCTGAATTTATAAAATTGGATAACTACCAAGGATATATACACAAAAAGCATGACTAGCATACTTATTTACATTGTGGTCCTTATTTTGCTCTGCCTTGAATCTAACAATTACACTATACTAACAGCACTAACTATTGAAGTATACAAATTTGTAGTTTTAATCGGTCATACAATGGTACATTCTCATAAGACAATACAAACTTTTCTTATGCTTAATTTCAACCGAATTCTTTTAGCGAAAATCATACTCCTCTGCCTCTAATCTTTCTACCTTTTCCATCAGACATTTCTTAACACTATACTTAAAACTAGAATAAACAGAATTTGTCCTAACTTGCTGTGGTAGAGAGTTCCAAGCTTCAATTGCAGTACAAGTAAAAGAGTTTTCCCCACTGCTTCCCACCCTCGGTTTAAAAATAGACATCTCACCTTCCCTTGTATTGAAACTATGGACTTCTGACGTTAACATGACACCTTCTGTCATATACTGTGGGCCGAGATTATGTAATATTTAAAAAACCCTATTTACCTTCAGTTGCATTACCCTGAACTCTACAGGTACCCAATTTACAGCCTTGAACTCTCTAGCACCTATGTGTGCTCTAGTACCTAGGTTGAGCTAGAACACATCTAATGGCTTTATTTTGACACACTTGCAGCTTAGCCCTTGTGCGCTTTTAATTGGGAGACTGCTGTACCATATACTGCTTACATAGTCAAAATGACGTTGAATTAGGGCAGAAACTAGTAATCTTTTACATATGCCGTGTTTAAATACTTAGCTTTTCTGGAAAGAAATTTCAATCTATTGTAAAATGTAAACCTTTTTTACAATCTTAATTCCCGTTACCTCACCACTCATGGAGTCTTCCAAGTCTATTCCTAGATACTTAACTGTATTTTTATGTGCAATTGCCACCCCGTTACATCTGATGCCCAGGTTTGGATTATCCCTGAGTTTGTGTTTAGTTCCAAAAATAATACTTTCTGTTTTTCCAAGATGCAAGGATAAATTATCATCATTGAGCCATTTATTAATGGAATATGCAATTCTCTACTTAATTCTTCCTGTATAGCCTGTACCTCTGTCCCTGAAACTACTAAGGCCGAATCGTCAGCATATAATAAAAGCTTGACTGCCTTTGCCATGTCATTAACATAAATCAGAAATAACAGAGGACCCAAAATCGAGCCTTGTGGTACTCCACATGCAATAGGGTCCTTATTAGAGAAGGTACTGCCTACATCAGTTATTTGGCTTCTACCAGAGAGATAAGCACTGAACCATTTCACAGTCCTAATATCCATTCCGTTAGCTTTTAGCTTGGTTAGTAGAATTTTATGGTCAACTGTATCAAAAGCTTTTTGAAGATCTAATAAAACCATACCAGTTAGATTTCCTTTGTCAGACTCTTTACGAATAATATCAGTTAGATGGATTAAACTTGTGTCAGTTGAGAAATTTGATCTCAAGCCAGATTGGAACTCGTACAGTAAGGAATTTTCTATTAAATATTTCTCTACTTGGTTAAATACTATAACTTATAGGCTATTTGCTCCAAAACTTTGGACATGACACTTAAAATTGACACAGGCCTATAGTTTCCAGGTTCTGTTTTGCTATTCTTTTTATGTATCGGAATGACCCTTGCTGCTTTCACGTCATCAGGGATTTTTCCTTGGATGAATGCCATGTTGATTACATGTGTACGCAAGAGCTGAGCAAATAACATTTGATCCATCTTTTATAAATTTAGCGGGAATATTATCTAACCCAATAACCTTACGGTACCTGTATTAATGTTTTTCAGCACCCGTAGTACCTCTTCCTCTCCCACCGTTGTAAAAGTAAATGAATTTTCTACTACGCCTTTGTCCCTATAATAATTTTGAAGACTATAATCTCATCATACGTCCCTTCCTTTTGTGGTAGATCGTTCACCAAGTTTGAGGCCACACTTGTGAAATACTTATTAAAATTATTTGCAACAATTGCTTTGTCAAAACATATATTTTCTCAAATGTTTAGCCCTACCCTGCCCAAGTTACTGGTTTCCTTATTTTTCATCCTCTTTTCAGACTCTTTAAAGTCTGCCATAATTTTTTAGGGTCATATTTTTGTGGTCCTCAGCCTTTCCCGTATAGTAATTATAGCCTTTGCTTTCTTAATTTTATTTTGAACTTTGTTTCTAAGCAATTTAAAATCCTTGTATGTAATTTCATCTTTACTCCTCTTAGGCCAAAACAAAATATATTTTTGTTATACCGTTACAAAATGCCGAAAAAAATAGATAGGTATACCATATAGTGTTTGAGGCCACACTTGTTGAAATACTTATTAAAATTGTTTGCAACAATTCTGCTTGTCAAAACATATATTTTCTCTCAAATATTTAGCCCTACCCTGCCCAAGTTACTGGTTTCCTTATTTTCATCCTCTTTTCAGACTCTTTAAAGTCTGCCATAATTTTTTAGGGTCATTTTTGTGGTCCTCAGCCTTTTCCGTATAGTAATTAGCCTTTGCTTTCTTAACTTTATTTCTGAACTCTGTTTCTAAGCAATTTAAAATCCTTGTATGTAATTTCATCTTTACTCCTCTTAGGCCAAAACAAAATATATGTGTGGTTACCGTTACATGCCGAAAAAAAATAGGGTAGGTATACCATATATGTGGAAAACATTTTTATTCTTTAAATATTTTATTTACACGAACCATGTCGAAAGGATGTGCTTTACGCATCAGCAAACTGTCCAATTCATATTTATTTTAAAGTTGTTTTTTAAATTTTTTTTTGACTTTAAAGAAAATTGACAATAAAATGTTTAGGGTCGCTGGGAATAAATAGGGTCGGTCGGGAAACCGTAACCACACCTATATTTTGTTTTGGCCTTATGAAGCAGTAATTTTCTATCTCTTTCCAGAATAATTAAGCTCCCAAATCTCACTATCAAACCATGGCTCAGTTCTTTGTTTTATTCTAGCTTGTTTAATAGGGGCGACAGTATACGTGTCAATGGCCTCTAGGAGGTATTTTTGAAAAATTTCCCATGCATGTTCTATAGAATCCACGTTAAAAATTTTATACAATTGCTTCTCTTTTAACTTATCTCTAAATACCTCTGGACTATATGTTTTTAATGATCTAATTCTCCTAGTTTTATGCTTATACCTATATAACCTGTCTTGAAGTTTTCCTAGTACAGTAAGTTAAAAAATGATCACTCACTCCCTTGGCTATGATGCCCGATTTACTAATTTTGAGTGCATCAGAAACCATTATTAAATCGATGGCGGACTCACTTATATTAGTTACTCGTGCAGTAGTGATTAGTTGTTTGAGATCATATTGGTAGCAGTAATCTTTAAGAGCCTTTTAAGCATATTCTATCACCTTTTCCCATTGATTTTTCTAGAACGTTAACATTAAAATCCCCTAATATAATAATTTCCTGCTCATTGAACCTGTCAGCATTTATACTAATATTTTTCAATAGTTCGAAGAAGTTGCCTTGTTTTGGTGGTCGATAGCATACCCCGGTCAATATTGGTTTTGATCTTGGTCGGGCTAAGTCTGGCCATGCCAACACTAATCTCCATGAATAATTCAAATGGTGGGATACTCACACATGGCATTTTCTGAACAAAATAACATTGTTGAAGCAATGTACAGCGCTAAGATTCATGAAAGGTAGAAACTTCAAATTCACCCTGACATGAATGACTATATATATAGAATCACAGGGGTCGAAATAAGCGATGGTCTGATGGTCCGGGACCATCAAATAATCAGGAGGACCATCAAATTTTCAAAGTCAATGGTCCGACAGACCATTGAATATTTTGGTCCCATTTTATGGTAATTTTCTTTGAAGTTTCCACGTTCCAATATGTAAAATCTCTTTCTTACGCTTGCAGCAGAGAACAATTTGAAATTTAGGAGGACCATCTAAAATTTAGGAGGACCATCTAAATTTCAAACTAGATATGGTTCTGTGGACCATATCTTTTTTTCTCCTTATTTCTACCCCTGTATCATATGGTATTTTGTACAGGCCACTGTAGAGATGATTTAAGCTCGTTGTATTTTTTGCAGCTACCACTGGAATGCTCGTCGAAATGCTGGGGCGAGTTTGGACGTGGACTCGTTCGGCAGAAATACTATGACCAAGAGAAAATCACAGAGTCTAAGCTAGCCCGTGTGCTGGGCACTCTAGACTTGACAGCTTTAGGTGAGACGCTCTATAGTTCTCCTGTATACCTAAGCCCAATGAAATATTTGCTGGTTTTTAAAGGAGCTTATGGGCTATTTCCTCTCAGCCATACAGAATGATCACCACTGTGCAAAATGTCTCATACATTAATTGGGCCTACTTGTCAAGACTTCGTAATTCGCTGACTATATAATGTGTACACATTGAGTAAATATACTATGCATATTGAGTATTATCTAGTATTCTAGAGAGTATAATTGTAACTGTCAAAGTGTGTAGGTCACAATTGATACCTTTCTAAAAATGAAATTATTTGTCTGTTGATTATAAAGTGGGCAGTCACGTGGCATTGTACATACTGTATCATCAGGAGTGAATAATAGGTAGTTGTAAAAGGTTGCACTAGAGTGCAGTATGCGGCACAGCCGTCATTGCGAGGCATGCTCACCTCGAAACCTAGCAATGTAATACCACAAACGTTTCTACTGAATGGTAGTTCCTGCATCTGTTAAAAATAACATATCCATCACTGATCTAATACCTATCAATATGTGTGTATGGTTTATTTTCGATTTCACATTTCAATTTGGCTAAATCAAGTAAAATTTCTACTAAAGTTGATGGGTGTTTTGCTTTGCTCACACGTGTGTATTATTAGTTATGAAGGGCTCTGCGAATATGAAGTGCTCGTTACATAGCTGATTTATTCCCCCACAGGTATCGGCAGCACGTTAGGAGCAGGTGTCTACGTCGTGGCAGGACAGGTGGCTCGTCAGACTGCTGGCCCAGCGGTCGTCATCTCCTTCCTCATAGCAGCCGTGGCGTCAGTTCTCTCAGGTAAGTTATCTCGTTTATTACAGCAGCCATAGCGTCAGTCTTTTCAGATACAGCTCTTAACATCAATCCTCTCTCGTGAGTTATCTCCTGTAGCAGCTATAGCTTTAGTTCTCTCAGGTAAGTTATCTCGTTTATTACAGCAGCCATAGCTTCAGTCCTTTCAGATACGTTGTTATCTCTTACAGCAGCTCTTAAATTCGATCCTCTCTCGTGAGTTATCTCCTGTAGCAGCTATATAGCTTTAGTTCCCTCAGGTTAGTTATCACCATAGCAGTTATAGATTCAGCTCCCTCCGGTTAATTATTTCCTTATGGCATTTATAGCTTTAGTTCCCTCGGGTAAGTTATATTAGCTCCTAGAGCAGCTATAGCTTCAGTTCTCACAGGCAAATTATCTCCTCTCTTACTACAGCTATAGTAGAGACTGCACATTTCCATGAAAACGGAAAATGGACGGAAATCGCGGAATCACCCCGTCTGAAACGGAATCACCAGTTTCACCAAAAATAACCTGCCAAAACACAAAAATAACCTGCCAAAACAGCTCAAATTACTCCCAACACACATAAAATGATTATGAAAACTTATATTACATTCATCACTTTAACCCTCCAAAAGAAATTACAGATCCAAAAAAAAATACAAACACAGAAAAAACAGGCATCCATCAGTGTTTTCTCTTAATTTTAATTATTTCTGAATAAAAATGTAGAAATTTACTGAAACGGAATTGAAGTGGAATTTAGTAATCTTCGAAACGGAATTTGGCAAATTTTGAAGCGGAAATGTGCAGTCTCTACTATAGGTAAGGTTATACAAGTACAGCACATCACTACCAGAATCTAGTCATGGTTGTACATGTGTACAAGTAATGTAGCTATATTCCTGCCGCTGTGTGTGTGTGTGTGAGTGTGTGAGTGCGTGTGTGCGTGTGTGTGTGCGTGCGTGTGTGCGCGTGCGCGTGCGCGCGTGTGTGTACGCGTGTGTGTGTGCATGGGGATGACGTGTGTGCATGCATACATGTGTGACCTTAAACACACGTGAAGTGACTTTGCTCAATGGTTCGTGACAAGACTAAGTAGTACGTAAATCTGGATTTTAGTGCTGATGTGTGCACGTGTAGCTGGCTGAGTGTGTGTAATGAAACTTGTTTGGCAGCCAAGGTGGTAGCTACAGTTAAACCCGTATGTAGGGAGGGGTTCATCGGGAAAAACTCCAATAGTTCGCTTTATAGACTGGTGATCGTGCTATAATGGCTGTTCCACTTTATAACTGCCACTCGAGAAAATCATCAAGTTTCCTTAGTGGATAAGTTTTCACTTTTAGAGATAATCGCTGACACAAGTTGGCTGTACATTTTAGGTCCGCCGTGTATGTTACTTTAATAATATGAATGCTAACGCTACCCATATGTACTGCACAGATTTACATCAAGATATTTCGGGTTGTAGGTCCCTACTTCTGGTAATATGATACATATAGTTGTTATTGCCTCTCCGATCATATAAAAAGGCTTCTTTTCTCTTCACATTTGTTTTGCGTGGGAAGTCTTAGATATGACACGTACGTCATCGGCGTGCATGCTGAATGAGGTGGAAATAGCAGGTTTACAACCTTCGCGATAGCTAAATATAGATTCATCGCCATGCCTCCACGCCACGACACCTAAGACGCCTGCGAGCGAGCGTAAACATAAATTGTCCGTACAAGACCTGCCAATTAATCTACTAGGGATCGTCGGATGCTGGGAAGAGCAGCATTGATGGATGCTCGCTTCGTGATAGCTGTGGCGGGGCTATATTCGGGATGGTGCAGGTGCACTGATAGTCGTTGGATATCACGATAGGTGCATCTCTATCCTATCATGAATTCCGATTCTAAGAATTGCTCTCTAGTGACCTATATACTATGGTCCAGATGAGGTCACCTCTATCAAACTTTTCTCTTTCTAGCACTTGCCTCTACTAACTGGTACTCTCTCTACTACTAGGTTCAATTGATGCGTAAAAGCAGCAGTACCATGTTCCAGCCTCTATAGAGAAGCTCGTGAGCTCGTGTGATAGGCACGTGTAATCGTATAGGGTGTGACCAGGTTCGTGTACAGCAGATACGTGTGCAAATAGCACTTGAGCCACAAACAGTATAATTAATGCTATAACCACTGAATTACTACGGTAACTCTATTCTTTAATGAACAACATCATAAACACATACAGTACAAGGATGGCTACGCAAGCCATCAATCAATGACGCGTTACAAGTGTTTCATATCATACAACCTAGCAGGCGGCTCCTCTTGTCAGTTGACGGCGGCAACGGTAGCAGAGATCGGCAGGTGAGTCCTTGTGTCAGCTGGCAGCGGTAACGGTAGCGTGGTGACGAGCAGCAGGTGAGAGCAGTGGGTGCGGACAGCGTCGTGAACTGTCAAGCACCGTGGAACCGTGTCTGTCTTCTTGTCGAAACTGTTCGGTATTTATACAACTGGAGGAATGCATGGCCTGAGCGTGGTCAAGGCCTTGTTGCGTGCGGATGGTGCAATCCTGTCCTTCTCCAGATTTTTATGGATAACTGAAGGTGAGAAGCTGTGGACGCTTCTTGAGTCTGGTGTGGGAACCGTGGCAGGTCGATTCATGTTCTTCATATTTCCCATATTTGTCGGCGGCGTCGTTGTTTGTTCTTTATCAGTCGGCATGCGACGTCAAGGTGTGATGTCCTTCTATAGGTACTAAAATCTCATAGTGTCGCCTTGTGTAGGTGATTACTTTCTCTCTCTGCCGTCGCATATTTTCTCTTCTTTTGTTGGGTCACGCGCGCGACACGCGTGCGGCGTGCGCGGCTGGTGAGAGCAGGACCTGGTGTCCTTCGCTTGTTGCCTTGGCTGTTAATAACCTATGACGTGATCTGCTTACGTTTAATGACCCGTGTCATTAGGTTTCATACTAGGTTAAATAATTCGATATCTACGTCACTACACCTCACAGGGCATCCCTTTCCTCCTTTCCTTCTCCCATCCCTCACCCTCGCCCTTGGTAGATTTGCATCGCTATCCAAACAAAAGTTCATTCACCTCTCCCCTTTACCAATCATCACTTTTTTAGTTGCTCATGTTTTTGAACACTGGGATTTCCCCAATAACGTACAGTAGGCGTCTAGCAGTTGGCGGAAGGCATGTGAAGCTGTGAACCTATATAGTATACGAGCTAGCGAAGGGTGTGTAGAAGCAACAACAATTAACGGAAGCAGCAGCAAGCAGGCAGCACATGTACATGCACAAGGGTGGCTGATGCAAGCACGCGGCCCGGTTACACATACGCGCACGCCTGCCCGGCGGATTCCTGGCAATCAGCCAAAACCACGAGTTTAACTGCACGCCGCCGCGCGAGATTCCGCGATTCCTGCCGTGATTCACTCGGCGATGCTATTGCGTCAGCTTTGGCGATGCAGGATGCTGCGGGGGATGCGGGGCGTATTGATTGCGGCGGGAAGCTGAGCGTTGCCGCCGCGTCACTCAGTCGTACGTGCGTCACCACGGCCGTGTCTCACGTCACAGGCGGGTGAGATATGTGGAGGCGTGACCATAGAGAGGAGGGAGAAGGAGCTAGAGGAGGAGGAGGAGGAGGAGAAGCACGGGGAGGAGGAGGAGAAGGAGAAGCAGGAGGAGGAAGAGGAGAAGGAGGAGGAGGAGGAGAAGGAGAAGCACGGGGAAGAGGAGGAGAAGGAGAAGCAGGAGGAGGAGGAGGAGGAGGAGGAGGAGGAGAAGGAGAAGCAGGGGGAGGAGGAGGAGGAGCAGGAGGAGGAGGAGGAGGAAGGGGAGGAGAAGGAGGAGGAAGGGCAGGGGGAGGGGAGGAGGAGGAGAAGAATGAGCAGAGGGGAGGAGAAGGAGGAGGAAGGGCAGGGGGAGGGGAGGAGGAGGAGAAGAATGAGCAGAGGGGAGGAGAAGGAGGAGGA